ATATACATGCATCACCTTGTGTTCTTGTTAATGTCACAATGCAATAATCCGTCCATAATATTATATATCTAACTGCTGTTGTTCTAGTATTAAAACTACTCGCAATCGTAGTCAGCAAGCGAGTAACTTCCAATATGGTAACATCTGTTACCGCTTACGTCTAATTCAATAGATACGTTGAAAGAGTGCTGCTATATCTTGCAAATGCTTTATTGTCAATGGATGAAGGATGGCTGTGTTGCATTCTGTATGTGCTCATCATGCTTTTATCTAACATTCGATTGACGTACATTTGTAAATCTATCAATGTGTTCTATACGTGTATGTTTATGCTTAGTGGATGCAAACAACATTCATATTGTCAACAACACAATACGTTGCTGCTTACTAATTAAGTTTTATGTTCACAATATTAGCACCTTATGCGACCCAATAAGATGAGGATGATGAATAAGATTATTCATACTCCTTTAGAGTTGTTCGTTCTTCTTCCAAGTCATATTAATTTCATTTGGCAATCATATAACCAAATAAGCTTCTTCTATTCAATACAATATAACTACTAATCAGAAACGATATCACTCGTACATTGTTTATCAATTATACTTCCACTCAATTCATATTTCATGATTATTTCATTTTGATATTGATATGGCACTGAAATATCATCGGCAAACATTTTCACTGCCTACAACATTTGAACAATCAAACAGTTGTATCAGGTCGCCGGTTGGTTTTTTTCGGAGAGAGACCAACTGTTTTTCGACAATGCTTAAACGCTCATTACATTTTATTATGGCAGTATTTCTCGGTCGATTTCGATGAATTACCATGAGATGAATAAGACGAGATGTCTATACAAAGGCTGTGGCTCAAAATACGTCCTGAACGCTGAAGTAGAAAATTTATATTTGAAAATGCGTCGTACTGAATGCATGAGTGACGCTATATCAGATGAAATACAACAAAGCAAATGATATAATTTATTGAACAAGTTTCATTCTTTACATTCAAAAAACGCAAGGCCGGCTTACCTAAAATGCAACAATATTCAAAACAAAACACGATTGTTTTACAATGCAAATAATGAGATTGAAATGAAGACGACATTACAATCGAATGTCTCTTTCTCAACCAAAAAAAAATGTTAAGCTGTTAATGAACGAAGCACACTAGGTTTATTCAATATGAGCAGTTATTTTGAACTTCAGAAACGTTTGAAAGCGATACGATATCATTATGATTAGACAACAACAAACAAAGGATTTGTTAACAATCAATTTTTTGTGGCTTAATAGTATTCTATTGTAGTTTGATTTTTGTGGGTCATTGAACTGCTGAATCGAAAATGTGAAGTGATAGTAGTGGTGAATATGTAGTAATGCAAAGTTTGAGTGGCGCTGCGTTATGATTGGCTGCTTGAATGCAATTTATGAGTAAAGTATACTCGATTATTGCACCACTTGGATTCGTGTTAGCGAATCAGCTACTTCTTACTCAGTCACCAGTTACGGTAAGTAGCGTCATCGTCATCTAATAACATCTCACTTTAAAGCAAGACTAGTTGATGACAACAATTGGCAGCGGAACATGAAAGAGAGTCAGTAGGTCGAGGGGAAGTGAGATGAAATCATTGTAAACGGAATTTTATGAATGCAACAAAATGAGAATTTCAATAAATCCGAGACGATTGAATATCGTTTAAAAATGCAACTCTACGTTTATGAAAATGGAAGAAGTGTTCATCGACTTGCAAGCAATCTGAACACAAGTCATTCTTTATTGAAAGTATTGAATATACTTTCCTCCATTTTTTTATTTCGCTAGAATAAATCTAATTGTGACAGTGTGATCGTTTGAAGAATGTGCGATCAGAAATGAACAAAAACTCATAAATGCAGCAGATTTCTAAAAGCCATCATTTGTTTTGTGTGTCTACACAGAACGTATCGTTCACATCATCTATCTAATATAAAGCACCTATTTACCACCCGGCAATATTTATCGATGATAATGATGATGATAACAAATCAGTTTTCAATATTACTATGAGCAATGTTATAATAGCCACTCTATGAAAACAATGAGTATATAGCAGCGAATTTACGTTTCAATTGTTTCAAAACACCCAGAACCCCTTCTGTTCAATACAAATATACTACTGAAAGTAATTAAGGAATGTTTATTGGAAGTGAGAAATGAGTATGAAACAACCAACAGACATGAACGAAACCAATATTGCAAAATGAAATTTGACGTAGATGATGAATGAGATGCTTTCAGTGATTCAGCCATAAAAATCATAGTATTTACAGATTTCGATCATTGGATGAAACATTTCGAGAACCTTCATCATAATTCGTGTGGAACATCAAAAGAATTTGCTGCCTGAACTATTAAGATATGAATTCCTGGTGATGAGATTGATTATTCCGTGAAATGCAATTTGCAGCAAGCAACACTTTTATTTTTCATATCTCTGGATACTACACATTAGGCTAACAAAAATGCGACTAATGTTCTGAATTGATCAGAGGAATTGCAAAAATTAGTGTGTTCTATGGGATGCTGACTGAAAAATCAATAAAATAGAACGGGCAAACGTTAAGGATGCACCACGTAAATGCGATGAACATATTGTTCATTAAAAACTTGGTAGATGAGGTTAAACGAACAAGATTCGTTGCTGAAATCAACCCGACTTAAAGTGATTCAGTTACAATTGATTTAAACCATGCAAAAACTCTGTTTAGAGTGGTTGAAATTATTAAAATTGCCATTAAGACAAAAACCACTCACGCAATGAATCGCTCTCGATAGTAAGGAGTAATGGAAAGAAAAATTGATTATGTATGAAAGATAAGCAGTAATACATATCTCGATTTAAAACTAATTGATGAACTGATCTGAGATTTCATCTTTTTCGAACCAAATTCGATTATTTTGCTAATAATTTTCGATAATAACGTCAACAATAATGATGAAGATTAAATGGCAAAGGAATGAAATGAAGTGACGATGTGATATTGATCAAAAGAAATAGCAATTCTCAGTGAGTATGAACAACGTAAGTTATACAACCATGACATAAACATATACGATCAGGAACAAGAACAAGCTGCCGCAATAATTACGATAACAATGAAGCATCTCGCTGTGCTTGAAGTTGAGCCAGCAGTAGTTGTGCTAAATGAAATCCACCACCAGCAAAAAACTTCGATTCATCAAGCATCCAATTCACGTCTTTCGATACCACTCCAAGAGCACCTAAAACTTTGAATATAACGACATAATCAGGTGAAAGTTAACTCGTTATTGATAGTCACCGTTCGAGAATACTGCTATGCTAGGAACAGAAATTTTTTCTCTAAAATGATTAGTTCTCTTCGCTAAATTACGAATTACTTATCAATTACCTTTATTAGATCTATTAAATGAGTGAAGAATGATAGTTGGTCTTTATGAATTGACCAGCTTGAATGAGAAGCAAGCAATAAATGTCAGCTGAGAAAGCGGTGATTTGTCGATATTTCGGAAAAAACAGTTTCATTTTGCTCATGTGCCTAGCTGATTTAGAATGCGAGCACGTCTATCAGCAAAAATACTTGTGAATGGTCAGCATTGTTCTAAAATCAACGAAATTTTCTCATGCCATTACGATGCATTCATTCTAAGCGGCATTTCCTAATGACCTATGACTATGAATAATGCACATCACAAGTGTACCAAACCGAGACTAACGCATCACAAATCAATTAATAAGGAGGATATTTTGAAATGGAATGTGTAATTCATTCAAACAACGAAATTTTTCAACACAACATGATGCTCCTCATTTTGAAAGAAGGAGTGTATGACGATTATTAATCCGATTATTACTCAATCAACACTGGCACTTTTCGATGGAAATTATAAATAAAGATTTCATGTTATGCAAGTAATTAGAAGCGTGCATATATCACTAGCGAGTGAATTGGTTGCAATAAGCACGACTGTTGTATGAGATTAATTTATAAATAAGATGAGAAAGGACGGGAAATGATTTTAAAAGAGTAAAAGATATCCTGTTGGAAGACATGCATCTATTAAAATTCAATATCAAGTTCTATTTAAGCAATCAAATTGCATCATATTCGTTCGAATAACGTTTTCAATCAAAAGTGTCACTCAAATTTACGAATTTCACGCATCCAACACAAATTACTTCATGCTTAACGTTCGAAACGCTTCTCAAGTAGTCAACGAACTGTGATTGGCTGAAGAGACAGAAAGAAGATTGATTGATATCTATATATTTATGTATATATATAAATGTATGTACTTATTTCATATGACCGTATTTCATCCTCTCTAAAAACAAGTACGCAAAGTTTTTGCTAGCCAAAAATGGATTGAATTCACAGAAACAATCGTAAAGCGTTCACCGCATAAGAATGGCAATCCTAAGAGCTGAACAAATAGATGCATACACCTAGCAACAATCAAAACTCATCTCATCATGCAGCTGCTAATCAATAACAACTAAATTTTATCAACGAATTTTCCATCAGCCATTCACTGAACAACAGTAAGACGAGAATTTGGTGAACGAAATGCAGCTGAGCACAAGAATGCTGTGAATAAAATATTTAAGAACTTTCAATTCGACACAACTTGAAAATTTTAGAGGGAAGGAAAAAGTTTTTGAAGAATATAGAATGCTAACCAAGAAGAGGCTTCACCAGCATGTTCTCAAATTTCAACAGAAGAGAAAAATAAGTGAATGAAAGACGTTTTGTGTGGATGATGAAAAAAAAAATCAGACCCGTTGTGGCATTTGGTGCATTTGCGGGCGTTTTCAATAATGTTTCAACTTTATTCCGCGGCCTTTTCACTGGAGGCGGACCTTCCGGAACGTCAATATTCCTGAAAGCACAAAGAGATTGCATATTGAAGATGAGTCTATCGGGTAATCAATTATGCGTTTTGAAGGTAATTCATGCATTTTTGAATATCTGATTATGCATTTTAAATATTTTTGAACAGCAGAAAACTGATGAGAATAATTAAAGGTTACTCGTGATCAGAAAATACAACTGATAATATGCAACCGTATATGATTATTCGATTAGGACAGTGATAATACAAATCAAAATGTAGGTAGACAGATAGCAATATCACTGAAGCGGTTAATAGACAAATGAAAACTGTTACCTTCAATTCGCATTCGATTATCAAATTATCTATGAAATAAGGAATAGACGTTGAATGAGCGACTATAAATAAACTTGCGTGGTAAATTTTTGGAAATTGTAAAGCACACTGAATGCTTTTACAACGTTTTGCATGACTGCTTATGGTATGAAGCATTTAACGAACGAAGCAAACAAACAAAAAAGAGTCAGAAAACCCTCTTCTCCTTCGGTTAATAACAATAGGGAGATTGACGCATGCGCACAGCTTGCACAGCAATAAACCATGTGCATGTGACGGAATATTGTGTAATTTAATGAATATACATGGTTCGTTCAAAACACATTCATCGATATTCTTTCAGCAGTTTGCGTTAAACTATTTGTCGCTGAATGCAACAAAATCAAATATCGATATTTATGGATTCAAAAATTGAAAAAAAAAAGATGGCATACTTCAGGTACACATACTTATGTTTATGACAACTTGTGAATGGACACAGAATGAAGAATGAAATAATAACTGAAAATTGGTTAGGGTGGTTGAATTAAAAAAATATTAATGCTATTGCACATGAATGTACTTCGCAATATCAAAAGAAAAAGAAAGAAACATTAACCATGAGTAAAAAGGCCATCATTTCATGTGATTGTTTTTCGTAGATTTATCAACTGATGAAGGTCAAAGAGAACACTAATAAAAGATTACGAATCAAAGAAACAAATGAGAGGAATGGTAAGTTGCTCGAGCATTCGAACGTTTGGATGAGCCAATAAGGATTGATTTTATTGCGAAGAAGAAGAGGCGATTTACGCTAAATAAAAGAATCAATCGGCCATAAATATGCAACGCAAACAATAGAGGAATTACGAAAAAAAAATTCAGAAAAGTAAAAACTCAACGACACATTGAATTGTGCGTAAAAACACGGAATGTATGCGTCTATAGGTGGGTGGCCGAAACATGACAAAAAATAAAATATGAAAAAAAGTTATAATATTGTACCTAGTATCGCATGTTCATCGATGTTACAAGCAAAGAGCGCAATCGACGTCGCAAAAAAAGAACATGAACGAATGCACATAATCTAGTCGAAAAATCAACGAACATTCGAACAATTCGACATAAATTTGTGGTGTTGTAACACAGCAAATATCAAATCTACAATGAAAGGCGTGCGCATTTCTGAAAATGGTTTGAATGCATTGAGGACCTCATTAAAGTTACACCTGAATTGAATTGGAAGTCGATGAAAGAATTTGCGATGAAAATATTGATTACAACTAAATAAAGATATACACATGCCCGGAGGTAGTAGATACAAATTTGAAACGACTACCGTAATTATAAACTATTTGAAAATAGCAAATGCATTATGAATCGTCCTGCAATAAACGTGTATACGATACTTTGATAGCATACTGGCGGAAAGCATTAGCAGGGAAACGAATAGACAAATGAAAAAGAAAAAATTGAGAGAAATAAGTGGGGAGAAAATTGATCAGTGATTATTTTGTTAATGGTATTTGTTAATTGACGAAGAGAATGTTGGTAAAGAATGAATGATATTAGCGAATAATTAGCGTGAAAGCAACTTATAATGGCATAAATCAATTTTGCAGCAATAATCATGATTAAACCACTGATTGCTAGCAGTTTAAGGCTGTTATTAGATTTGCATTCGCATAAAATAACGTTGAACAGATAGCTACATGAAATAAAGTTTAAGGTATTTGCTCTTCTTCAACAATCTTTCAAATTACACACTGTAGCAATTTACTTAATACTTCGAACAGCAAAACAGAAAAGTTGCACACATAAGAATTTCGAATACATGAATGTCATTGGTGCTTGCAGCAACACATGGATAATAACGCTAATGAATCGTGCTAATGAGTGGTCGGTAAATATCCTTCTAGCAAAACGAAGAGGGAAAGGAACAAATGGCAAGAAAGAAATCATCAGTGAGCACTACTTCGTGACCGTACAACTGATTTATTGATGGATGAGGTGGTGGAATGCTATCTGTGAAAGATGAATATTCTCAAGTATTTTCACACTATCACTTTATGACCCATTTTTGCTAGATTGATTTAAGTTTAAAATATCACGTATCATATAGAACAGATAAAAAATGAATGCTTAATCGGTGTACTGGAGAACAATATCGAATTCAAAACGAACTTGTTTTGTAGAGGTTGTTCAGCATTCTTGAGTGTGAGATCAAGCGGTCTTTCTTCGACAGCAGTACTAGTATTATTATTGAGCAGATGAGCATGACCAGGAGCACCACTAACATCTGGGCTCGATGAAGCCGATGCGGTTACAGATGCAAGTTGTACAGCGTGACGAATCCCTTTGCGGGCTAATTTTTGTTGATATGCGATCGGACAGCCAGATAAACTTCGATGTGAAGTACGATTACTATTCACATGACCCTTACCTGTACAACCAGGTGTGGTACAACGAAGTACCGTATCTTGTTGCAATGCTAGCACTGAAATTCACGCTTAGTACCACTTTTCAACTGAATACTCTAAGATACTTTATTTATGTGAATGATTCTCGTCATATAAAACATCCAATATTGGTATTCAAATTAGATATGTGTTCATCTGAGAAAAGCGTTCATCTTCAACGCCAATATCACTTGCTCAGATGTGTAACATTGTTATCCTCCATTCATGTTTTTAAGTGACAGATTCTTTGTTCACTAAAAAGATTAGTGATTTCCTGTCACTGGTGTTGTTTCATTCATTTAATGCTACTTTGAATTGCTAATGCTTTCGTTATTCGATTCGATCATAGTATACGGTGAGTGCATATACTTTGCGCATTCGGAGAACATACGAGTCATATTCAATTTCATTTGAAGACTTTGGATGTAGACATTTGCATTAATTATTCATACGAGAACTCGCTAATGAATAATCTATGTTCTTATTTTTAAATTTCTAAAATTGTTTGTTTGCTACAAAAGGTTTTCGAATTTATACAGCTGACTGAAATTTTTGACATTTTAGATGCTAATAAATACTCGACGATGATGAATAATAACTGATTGAGAGTAATTTTGTATGTTTTTTGAAATGGTTCAACCATTCACAAATGGAATGGTACTTGCAAGGATAAGAAATGCGTCATTCACTCAAGCTTACTTTGTATAGTTGACTTGTCGGGTCGCCGTGGACATCCAGAGAGACTTCTGTGGTGTGTGTAAAGACCCGTTTGATGACCAGATCCATCACAACCTGGTGTCGGACAAGCCAATTTTCCTCCTTCTTAATAAGATGAATTTTAAACGTTATTCACATGTTGCAAAGAAATTATTCACTTTTGATGAAGAGATATGAAACTGCTGGTGTTGGATGGACTGAAATGGCCATTAGACAGCCACCAATTGTCCGGTTGAAAATAACAAAAAAAAAACAAACAAAAGTAACTGGAAATGTTTAATTATTGTTCAATCGTATTATCACGACGTTCTAATGCGTAAAAATGTAGTTGTTAATTAAAGTAGAATACAAACCTGTACGATTACTTCTATACGTCGCTACAGCAGGTACAGTGATTGATAATTTGGTTGGTGTTATAAAATCGTTTGAGTTGGTTGATGATGTCTGCGACGGTGCAGGAGATTTGGAATGTGGAGTATTTGGGGGTGATTCGGTAGAGATTGGAGAATGAGGTGCTGGTTGACTACTAGCTGTAGCTGTACGACATCGTTCAAAAGAGGATAAGGCGGCAAATGGTGTTGAACTGGTGCTTGTGGTTGATGAGGCTAATGCTTCAGCACTGAACGCTAAACGATGCGAGTTTGCATTTGTCAGTGACGTGGATGGCGATGAATGTGATCCTCGTTCCTGTTCCTCACTATCATCCACACCCTTCTCATCGACCGTTACTTCATCGGTTAGTTGTTCCACAACCCTCACGATGTTTTTTGCTGCAAAGCATTCCAACTTAATCCATATGCATCGTTTTATGATGTAATTAATGATTGACGCACCATCTTTTTATACTCTCACCCTAGCCCTTTTTATATTTATCTAATGAACTGCCACATATAGCAGCTTCAACGGGAAAAACAGCTTGCTGGAGGCATAGCTGCAAAGATTTGTTTGAATTAAAACTGCACAACTGACTAAGTATGTTTCAAATGATACTGCTTTTAATCGACAATCCTGAATTAACTTTTAGACAAATTTTTTCTGTCCACAATTCATATCGATTCCAACTGGAATAGCAATCATAGGAGTTTTCACGTATTGCTTAGGAATATGATTGTTTGGTTGGTGATGCACAGTTCTGAAGTGAAGGCAACAAAACGGTGAATTTAATGCCAGACTATCACTTCTATAAAAGGCAATGAGGTTTTTCGAAATCACTGAAGTTTTGGAAGTTGAAACTGAAACTGGTCGTCACTAAGATTAATCATTTTCATTTTCTGTTGAGGACATTCATTGCAAAACGAACGAATCAATGCAAAACCATTCAGAGCGTGCTGCTTTCGTTAGGTTTTCACCTTTCACATACGACGTTTAACACACAGAAAGCTGGACAAACAATACAGCAAAACTTGGATAGTTTATTGCTGCTTGCGATGTTCATTTTCCTGTCAGATGACAAAATATGTTGATGAGAAAAACATCGAAAGTTGCTGCAGAGTCTTACTTAATAGAATGCAATTTCGAGGCATGAAGTATGAGAGTGCTGAATTAAACGGATTATCTATAGATTAAGATGCCGTAGCAGATAAAATGAAGTATTCTCTTTAAACCATTCACTATGATCAATTAAATTACTTGTTCTTCTTATTCTCTTGAAGTAATATTCTACAGTGATAAGTAAAAGAGGAAATGAAATGACTAAACCAGAAATATGAAATGATCGAGTTTAGTGAAAGAAAATATTCTGGTGAGATCTATCAAGTTCTACAGCGACAAGCGTTTTTCTTTGAGTCTGTGATCTTGAACGAATTAGCGTGAAACCTTTTCAAATTCCCCAAAAAAATTCTTCCATCGAGGTGAATAACGATGAGACACTCTCTTTACGTCTTTGAATTCAGTACAAAACAATTTGCGGGACGCTGTTTGTTTCCAAAAATAATTTATATAAGATTGAGTGAGGAAAACTGTCAAAAAAAACAAATTCAATCTGATTTTAAAAAATGACATGAATTATTAAGATCAAAAGCATTGCAAATGGGTGGAATACACGTCAAAACACACATGCAGATGTGTTCTCGCATGCATAAATTGCCATCATGAAGAATTAAGATTTCGAAATAACATAAAACAATGCTGATGGAAGTCAAAATGACGATCATTTCAAAACGTCTTTTCAGAATGTCATTTGCTCATAAACGTTCTTTCAGCGGAACTGAACAATGCAAACCAAAAGTAGACGAATGAAACAAGTGTCACTTAGTAACATATGAGTTAAGCACAATAAATGCCGAAGTAATGTCAAAAGATCGAGACATACTTTCGCTGTGAATAGTACCCAACAATCGGCAAGAAAAGAATTAGAGGAAAATTGAGATGTGCGAAATTTTTTGCATCGAAATTAGAATTCTGAGGCGGGAATAAAAAGTTTCTAAAAACTTTCCATTGAAATATATCAAACAAGGTTATCGTCATGAAACGATTAGCGTCAGAACATTATCGACTCTAAATTATTCAACGGCTCAGAAGAAAAGCAAGGGAGTTGCGTTGAGAAATGAAGTCACAAAAGATATCAGATGACATAACTTGTATGCTGCTTGGTAACTGGTTCATTTTTGTTATATAAATTAGATGGAAATACTTCAAAACACTCTCACTGTAAAAGTTCGCATTCACTTTAATCTGTTAAGCAAAAGTGAATGCAGTATTGGGACTAATAATGTAATTGCATCGAAGAGAAGGGAAACGAAGAGTGAGACGTATCATTTAATAAGATAGAATACAGCGAGCGACAAGAGATGATAATCTGAAACGAACCATCTGGCTTACGACGTCGTTTCACAGTTTGGCCGTTCGATAGAGATAAATCGTTTGTATCATGAAAATGACAATTTTCGGGGATATTCGTTGAAACAACCAACGAAATTGGTACATTGGCGAGTGACTCTTCGGTAGATGGTGACGACGAATGAATACTTCTCACTGAATGCGGACTTGAGCAAGTTCGCTCCGGTGATGGTGAAGTATTAGTGATTCGAACCGAATCATCATTCGCTGAATCAAGTTTCGATAAGGCGGCCAACAAATATTCAGAGGTGGCCGCCATCAATAGACCCAGAACGATGAAGTGATAAGATCGTTCAAATTAAATTGATCGTTTGAACAATGCTTCAGTAAATATTTAGTTATTCAGATCTTCCGCAGTATCAATAATGCTCTACAAGCTTATGTTCTACAAGCACAAGCCAACTCACACAACCAAGTGACTCATGCACAACGTCTCCTTACTCGTTAGACATAAGAAGTAGGCGTGGCAGCGCACAGCTGCAGGGCGTGGTCAATTACTTCCTCCTTTCCTAATGCCGCACACAAGTGCGGTTAATCCTTTTTCTCTCACCTACTCTCTCAGCTCTAGTTACTACTTGAAATACGCCTACCGTAACTCTTAAACACCTGCTCGCACTCCAAGTTCACTTCGCTACTGTATCTAGCCTTCCTCCTTTTGAAGTGTATAATAACCCTTTAAGAATGCACTTTTTGATTAAAATCGTTATGTATTATGCGCAAACTTACTGCTGATTTCTTACAATTAACAGCTTATTTTTGTCAGTAACAACATCTCTTTTATATCTTTCTATCAGTGTTTTATTTGAATGAATGAATGGATTAGCATTAACAACGTTACATATATCGTACTATTAGCAGTGCTAATAAATAAGGAATGAGTGATTTCATTTTCGATGACTTGAGTTAAAATCGATTAAAAATATGAATGATATATAGGGATTAATACTTGTTCCCATTATATCATGTATTGTCAATAAGCAATCAAATCAAACCGCTGTACAAATATCCGAACAGAATCGATTCAAGTAAAAAACTTTTTCGGCTAGTTTCGCCAAATAACTCTTTTAACAGTTAGCGCTAAGATTTCACCTCTATTGAAGCAAATTATTTAAACAAGCATTGATAGATCTGAATGTTATTTCTAAGTTTATAGAATGATTAAACACGAAACAAATAAATGAGAATAAACGAATTTATGCACATATTCTTTCAGTAAACCATCATCACATTAAGATTGAACGTTGATAATTGTTGTTTGAGAATGTGCTGAATTCGATCTTATTGCTGCATGCATCATTATACATTGAAACAACAGCACTATCGACCCCCTGTGATGTGTGTTCTTCTTATTTGTCGTTCTTTTTATTTATCGAAAACAAAACCGTAATTATTTGACAACATGGAATGCAAAATCCTGAAATTATTAATAATTTCACAATGCTTAATAAGCACTTGATACGCTTATGAATATCAATTACGACTGAAATCAATTTTTTTAAGTTCATATTTATTGCTTATAATATGTGCTATAGCATTTAGATGGATATATTTTTCGGATGAAGAATGTCATCAAAATGAACTAATCTTTGCTCGGAGCTGTTCTGTAATGTATTTTTTATTGCAGTGAAATCAATCAGCTATGCGAGGGATAGAGTATTTCTTGAACGGTTACCGGTCGTATGTGACATTCATGAATATTGCAAGTATATGACGTCGCATGAAATGATGTAGATTAGCAGTTGTGTTCAACGGTTGCTAGGTGCGGTTGAGAATAAGCTTGACTAATGGTCAAATGGCCAAAAAATACACTCAACAAAAAGATAATTCGACAAAAGGCCAACAAGTAAGTTGTGCGATTCGTTAGCTGAAGCGATAACTGCGAAGTAGAAGGTATTACTGACGTGTAAGGTCGAAATAGATGCAGTCTGATGTAAGAAGATCCCGTCTTTTGCTAGATAGTTCACAATGTACTTCAACTGTTATATTGCATAGCTCATATGTAATGTACAGTAAGATACGAATAATTGAATGCAATGAGAGAATTATAAATTGGCTTCATCAAATAAATTGATGGGTTTGCAATCAGTTGATTTCAGCAGTTATTTCATTTCCTCTTTAGGCTTAGGCCTATTTTTCACCTGAATAAATAAGAAGTTATACTTTGTAGCAGTAATGTAGCAGTAATTCATTAGAGCGATTATGATTACTTAGTTAAGTTAGTGGTAAAGAGATAATACTAAGGAATATTTCTTTTTCATCTTTTTTGCCATCATCATTGTCGTCGAATATCAAAATCCAAAATCAAGCGCTATTAAATTAAAGCACATAGATGATACATACGTAAATGAATGCATCAAGAATACATCAAATAAGATTGTTCAAATGAAAAAAATGCATCTTTCATAATGTCGTCTGAGTGCATTCGTATCTTCTCAATTCTAATTTGCATATTTTTAACATCAATTCATCTTCATCTAGCATTCTTACCCTTCTATAATCAACTATTCACAATTGTTTCACCACATTTCAAATGACTCTTCTTCCTCGTTTTTTGTATATTCACCACATACACCCCACCATAGTATGATTCCCAAATCTCAGCATACCGTACATTTCATACGTACATTGCCCAGTGAAGTTCGTATCAGATTGAAAAATGTGCATGTAATATGAACATCTTACAATGCTAATAGAAATGAAGAAGAAATTTTTGGCTCCAAAATAATAAATATGGCAAACAAAATTTATAATCTGATAAATTAATCGGAAATATATGCGTGGGTTAGTACATGACATCATAACGCAACACTACAAAGAGGCAGTTTGATATGATGAAAAGCAGTCATCGTACAGTGCATTATGCCTAGAGAAACAAAAAATGTTGCATACATTTTCAGTACCTAAAAACTCCTCATAAAGCATGCACTTCTCAATAAATCAAAAAACTGTTATCATTTCTCACTCATTTAAGAAAGATTACTTTTGCTCCAAACATAGTACTGCTTTATTATATTCTGTGTTAAGCAAACCTATCGTAAAACGAGTATGACTTGATCGTACAAAAAATGCGTTGCGTTTTCATCGTGAACATTAGTTTCAGTTGATTTTAATAAAGAAATGATTTTATAACGCTCACAATGGTGAACCGCGCACTATGTTCAGATGAAACGAAAGAGATCCATGCATATGTATGATTTCCAACTAATTTCTTCCTTTGTACTTATTTTTGTTCACATTTACCACGTTCACCATATCATCACTTTCTCTGCAACTTCATTTTAACTCAACATATTATTTAACAAATAATTCATGCTTGTGGCTTTTTCAGCGTTTATTCGAATGAAGTAGCCGTGTTTTTACTCAGAATGTCACAATAGCAAAGGGAGAGGGTGGAAGTTGGGGGAAAGGGGAGGGGGACTATAATGAAGGAAGTGAAACGAAAGAAAAGAGGAAAGGGAATATGGATGAGTTATTCAGTGAGTTTTGATAGGCGGTTGAATATTGAACACAAACGGCCCTCATTAAGTGAGCGTCGTTGTTGAATGGCCTCAATGAACACCTGCCACATAGATTTTGGTATATATATTACATGACATATCTAACATTTACTTATAATATTATTGTTGATTTATTTGAATCTATCAAAAATCGATCCAAATATATTCGAATCATATCATCTATCTGTAAGTGTCGATTATCCCCGTTTGTTGCATTCATATTGTTTGCAATTTTATCGGTGTAATCTCTTACTAGTTATCAATCTATGAACTGGTAGTCATTCAATTGAAACAAGTGGAATCATGATCAAAAGTTGTTCAATATGATTATTGATTTTGCCTCCAATAATTTCGTTATTTGCGACCAGAGAGCCGAAAAATTCCATAAATCATAACAAATTCGAAAATCAAATCAGAATCTTTCGAAAATGCAAAAAAGTTTCCTTGATTTGGATTTTATTCTTCTTTATTTGACTTGTTCAATTCTCAAATCAGCAACTTCCACAAAAATTTATGGCATGACATTTCTAAGAAGCTCAGTGTGCAAGGACAATGGCACAACAACACTCAAAAGCTTTGCCTTCTCATTTTCAGGAATTTCACTAAAACGAGTAATCATTGCCAAGCACTACTTTCAAAATTAAAACAATTTAAGAATTCATTCAGCCTCTACTGATCGTGATATCAATAATAGTAATGATGGTGCTAGTTAGAAACTCTTCATGATGGAACTTGATAGTAACAAGATAACATAATTGCTTTACATTCACTTTAAAGCGTATATATAGGACATACGGATAAAAAAGGTAAAAGAAAGAAAGGGAAGAGCAGCAGGCCAATCATTAAATGAGCTGGAATATTTGAGAAGGAACTTCAAAATAAAAAATACTTCTTAGCAGTATTGCTCTCAGCTTAGTATTTTTCTTAAAAGCTAAACGATTCAGTCTCATCTCATTATCTCATTCAGTAAAAAAACTCTCAAGATAGACGTGCAACTGCAATCAAATGTTATCAAACGTATGTTATTCATGCAAATATCTGATAAGTGAATGATTTGAACTAATCATGATATTGCATCTCGGAAATCACTATTTTTAGTATAGTGCACACATCATTCCAAATGCGCAGTAAAACCATGAAAATTACGTAATGGCATACAAAATGCGATGAGTCAAAAGTCTCTTCAAAATCGAAAACATGAGATAATATGCTGTGAATTCGGATCATCAACACAATTGGGAAAATCAATCATAGCAAAGGGTGTAGCGATGTTTTTTCCTCCTCTAATTATGCCCAATAAATTAATTCATCTCTTATTTTTGACAGAGTCGAATTGCATTACCAGTTCTGTATCTTGAGCTTTATGTAGCAATTTTATTGTTCATGCAGTCACACTAGACATTCGACGATCAAACCATACATCTTAAAAGTATGTCGCTGCGAATTACTCCTGTTCAATGGGAACGTTTAAATGCTTTCATAGACTGATAAGCATGAGCAGTGAGTGGCTCATGCTGATGAGCATGAGCAGTGAGCGAGCAACTGCAAATACGTGGACAATAAGTGAGCAGCTCTCGGTGAATTCGTCAGCAATGACCGTGAGCAGCTCAAAAATTTTTTCCGTCTTATGAGCACTGAACAAACAACCAAAAACACACTTTCGGAGTGAGCATTGAGCAAGCAGAACCGAGCGAATTCATAATTAGTGAGCAGTGAGTGAGCAACACCTTTTTTCAACAATCCTACATCACTGCTTCCATGC